ATTCTGCATTTTCTGTACACTGTGAGCAAAGTTTACATGTGCTTAATAGCACATACATTGCTTGTGCGCTGTTCTTGTGGATGACTTGGTGAATTGCCATTCACCTAGATTCAGATTCCTTGAGTTAATGCAAAATGCCATAACTGGAGGATTTCAGGATCTAACTAAGGCTAAGTTCACACTGCAGCCTGAAGTGACCCAAATCCGATTTTTTTTGCCCATATGTGACCTGGATCTGATCTTTTCATGGCTTTCTGAAAAACACAGATCCGATTTTTTCCAATGCGATTCAGGCCACTTGGCTATGCGCTCCTGAATCCGATACGAATCTGATCTTTTCAAATGCAACCTGTGTTTGAACAGCCAGGTCGCATTCACTCGAGCTGAACAGCATTAATACCCGACAAAGGTCACTATTCTGGGTCTTGCTACACAGAAGTGGTAAGAAAAAAAACAACCATGGCAGATGATGATGCGGAGAGCAGTATTTATGTTTAACCATATTGAAAAGATTGTGTTTTTATGGTTGGAAAAGACCGCTAGATTCGCGCCGGCTCTAACATCCATGCTTACTTTCGGAAAAAAAGAGCACACTGGCTTGTGATGTCATTGCGTCCTCTACTGCGCATGCGGGACACTTGCGTTATATGACTGCAGTTCACACAGGAGATCGCATACAAGTCGCATATATTTAGAAATATGAACGGCAACACAAAAAAATCGGGTTTCGCAAAAAAAATCGGAATTGAGCATCAAGGCCTGCAGTGTGAACTTAGCCTAACTAACTAAGCATGGGTTGAGAAATAAAGCTGATCTGATGTCGTTTTAAAGAACCCGAAAAAGAGAAACCCAGTTAAAGAAGCTATTTACGCTGTTACATCTTGACATTGATCACAGATATTTTCATTGAGATGAAGTTATCAGTGTGCTTATGTGTTAAGATAATGTTTTTTCAAGTCCTATTAATAATTGTAGAAATTATTCTTTTCTTGTGAAATATTTAATTTACCTCCAGCTAGCCCCTTAGCATTTAAGTCTGATTTTAGGTAATATTTTGATCAGAAGATTATTTTGACATCAGTCCAACTGATTCCTGATATGCGCTGCTGATTATTAGACCAGATATTGTTTTTTTCTTCCTCTATTTACATGATAAAAATGACAACAATGATAAAGTTACACAATTCTCAA